ATTCATATAGATGCAGTAGTAAGACGATGCAAACAATTGCGGGCAGTTTTCAAGAATTGTTTTTCATGATAACAGAAAAATAGATTAGTCAAAGATCACTGATAAAGAATCTAATTTAACACTGATAAAGAATCTAATTTAACAATGATAAAAAATCTATTTTAACACTGATAGTTAAAAGGGTTTAGAGTACTGTGGCATAGCTTTAGATTTGTTACCCTAGCTGACACGTTGGGTTTTAACTTATTTCCTGTTTTAAGAATTTTCTAAAAATATATTGCAGGAAAGAGCTCAAACATGAAATAATTTAAACCCCAACGTGTCTGCTAGGTTGTATCTTAGAATTATGGACGAAAGGTTTTCACCTTCACTTTGAATCACATTCAACATATTGAAATCTAAAAGTGTTTATAATGTCACACGGCTAATTGTTTTAAAACAAACTCATTTGTAAGAACTAAGTTACTGATTATACGCATCTTAAGAATAATGTTATAGAATACTTTATAGGAAACATCTTTAGGCTGTTATTTATATACTGCTGAAAAACATAGTTAGTTTTATTGTCTTATTATTCATAGTAGTTGGTTTGACAGTTCATCACATTGGAAAGACATAAGGACCACCTGGTGTGACATAGTGGGGTCATCTCCGAACTCCGACCCATATAGCACTTTCCGAGGAACCCTAAGGGTACATGACAGGTTTGGTGACAATGGTTTGTCGGTTCACCTGTTAGAAGTGGATGCAAACATACTGTTGGTGTGAACGTGCTTTGTATTCACTATGAGGGAAACCTATACACCGGATAAGTGAAGTGAAGAAAAAGTGGAATTGGCCACTATTCAGTTCTCCAAATTATATAGCTGTGCAATAGCAAATATTATAAATAAAGTTAGTATTCCGAAAATTGTTTAATTTCGAAGTCTAAGTTCAAGGGAGGTCCAAATCATTCTACACTTTGATCAACGTGTGTTATTGGTTATTCTAGTTCTCCGATGGCAGTTTTGGTGACAGTCGGCTCACCAGTTTTAAATGGGCACACACTCACACAAATAATAGTTTAGATAGATACTTATGATCGTTAATCATAATCCATATAAGTTATAAATTCTAGCGAAATTATTATCAAGATGTCTAAATATAAATAGTAATACAAACAAGGGTTTCAAAAGCATGAAAGAAAGCTTGTTTCCTCAATGGCAGATAATGCTTATATTAACAAATTGTTGATTGGTTTATAAAGTCTTTAAAATATAAACATGTTGTTCGCTGGACCTTTCGGCGGATGTCCAACATAGCCTTCACTGTTTTGTTTGTACTTCGTACATTTGGTTACTTATGTCCAACAGTTCATAGCCATAGCCTTCACTGTTTTGTTTGTACTTGGTACATTTGGTTACTTGTGTCCAACAGTTCATAGCCACAGCCTTCACTGTTTTGTTTGTACTTCGTACATTTGGTTACTTATGTCCAACAGTTCATAGCCATAGCCTTCACTGTTTTGTTTGTACTTCGTACATTTGGTTACTTATGTCCAACAGTTCATAGCCATAGCCTTCACTGTTTTGTTTGTATTTCGTACATTGGGTTATTTATGTCCAACAGTTCATAGCCATAGCCTTCACTGTTTTGTTTGTATTTCGTACATTGGGTTATTTATGTCCAACAGTTCATATCCATAGCCTTCACTGTTTTGTTTGTATTTCGTACATTGGGTTATTTATGTCCAACAGTTCATAGCCATAGCCTTCACTGTTTTGTTTGTATTTCGTACATTGGGTTATTTATGTCCAACAGCTTTCTGTGCAAAACTTACTAATATTTTATTTGCTTTATTATGAAAATTATTCTTATCTCCGCATTTAACTTATGATCGATTTGTCCTTTACTGTGCTGACTAAGTGAACTGACCAACCAGTATCTCTAGTATCTCGGACCGCTACAAGTAAACTAGACAGTGACCCTGGCCTTTAATACTTGTTGTATATAATAACCAAGCACTATTTCTGACTTATACTTGTGCACACGGAATCTCTGAATTATTCCTAATATTGACTAAAATAACAGATCATATACCTGACCTTTCATACGTATTGGCCAAAATAACATTGTTTCTAATCTTTACCACACGTTGGCTTGTTTGATTGTTCGTTTTAAGGCAAAGCTACATAGTAGGCCATTTACGGTCTGTCCACATTTGGGAATCTAACCTCGGACTTACTAAAAGTTGGTAAGATAATTGGAACAGAATACCTCTAACTAACTTAAAATACCAGAGAGTATCTTTGACCTCTACACTTGTTAGTTCAGGTGGACTTACCCAGAAGGAATGGTCAGTTGAAGTTAATGGTTTTTCAAGCTATTTCCAATGATCTAAAGGTTGGTTAACTGGGTTGTTTCATCTATAGCAAAGCTACACAATAGGCTATCTGCGCTCTGTTCCTCAAGAGGAATCGAGCTACGGATTTTAGCGTTTTAAGACTTTAAACTTTCTACTGGCTAATGGTTATTTCAGGGATTTAATACGGTATCATCCAGCGAGATGATTTAGTTTTGATGTTTACATGTTTTTAAGTACAGTGATCAGAACAACATAGGAAGCTACGAATGTGTTTTTTGTTTTATTATTTCTCACAATTTTTATAGTTAGAGAATTAAGGATTTTAATACTGAAGCGTACACAATTGGCATTTCATGTTTACCTTTCATCTATCATAAGACATTTCCTAGTAGGTCTTTCGTTCAATACAAAACTATTTTCACGTATTGCCTAATCGATGCTTTACAAATCTGTCTTGTACATTAGAAAGTATTGTGGTCAGTGTTCGGGCACAGTCTGTAGAAAAACATGCAGAGGTATATTTTTACAATCAAATTAACGAACTGATTGACGAGAAAAAGAAACATCCTGAGTCTAAAGTGATGCCTCACTTCTGGACTTATAAATATCTCACATTTTTATAGCACCTGATATCTAGTGTGTTGCCACAGGAAATAGGAAGGCTGGTAAGGTTTGAATTCATGACTCACTGTTACCCTATCGAGTTATTTGCCCGAGGACATTTGATTATTCGAGAAAGCTTAGACCAGCCCCATTTCCTTTTACACACGTCAATAAATTACACACAGCTGTAGTCACCAAGACAGTAGAGAAGAGAATACACAACTCAGACTTCTAAGTTGTAGAACAAGTTCTCTTGTAACTGACTGTAAAAACCAGTACTCTTGTACTGAAACCTTAGAATATTGAGAACGTGGAATTTTTGTTCTTTTTCTGACAGAATCACTGGTCTTGAACAATGTATGCATACTTTCTAGAAATTAATCAGGTCAGAACAATTTTAATATCATATATGTGACTGAATATTTTAATAAGTTATAATTCTTATTGTCATTTTGAAAATAAGATAATCATATGAACTACGTCACTTGCTTTGAAGAGTAAAATTCACATATTTTCACTTAGCCAGCGCGTAGAAAAACTCAAGTAGATTACTGAGGTAGAAGTAATTTTCATAGAATGGCAAATGAAGTATTAGTAAGTTGCGCGCAAAAAGGTATTGAATCTAACCCAAAGTAAAGACAAAACAGCAAAAATTAGTTTGAAGAATAACATCTACTCGTATTGTCGACAAACCTTATTAATTCCAGTCAAAATCTCGCTATAAGCTTAGCAAGACAATTGCAGGATAACATCGAGTTTCCTCGTGTTTGTTTGTGTGCGTTTATGTGGTGTTATCACATTGTAGCTTTACACTCCTATAAGATGTTAGTTTAAAACTAACAGAGCTTTTATAACTAAGAAGCTAATATTTATTTAGTCAATAAATTATATTTCAAGCATTCAGCATTTAGCTAACATACATGTCAATAAAATATGGTAAACTTTACTTTGCTCTAATCACAGCTTTAATCATAAATTGAATATCACAGGGTTCATAAAAATAACTTGTACTATGCTGATTGTACTGTTTATTGCCATCCCCCTGGAGTGTGGATTATACACAACATGGGAGACAATGTGGAGCTTTTCACAGGTGAGTATCAACCAGGAGTTAATAGTCCCTAGGGTGTTATGAGAATGATCCCTCACTCATTAGGATTCTTATCTGACCAAAGTGCACTGCAGAAGCCTGTCCAATAGTTGTAAGAGAAAATAAAGCACATCTAATACTGTTGTTGTTGTTTGTTTTTTCATCTATTAGTTATTAGTAGTTTGCACCTACAGGGTTTCTTAGTAGCAAATGTATTCTTTTATGATTGTCGCTATTAATAAACTCTGTTGTCAGATGTTTTTGAATAGCCAATTAAATATATGACCCTTGATAACGACACTTCTACTAATGGCCACCTTCCCTTTCTCATGCCAACTTGATAGCCAAAGAGAACCTTAATCTTACCCATTATCATGTAGACTAACTATGATATGAGTAATGAATGTATCTTTGCATTTTCTTATGGCTGAATCAATGAATCGTCATATCCAATCATCATTCTATTTTGAATGTACAAATAAAGGGTGTGTTATACAAAAAAGTATAGGCAAGTGGGTTATAACAAAGAAACACCTTAATGTAGCATGGTTGCTTGTGTTCAAAATGCTTGATGGAAGGTTTATTTAATTTTTGCGAGGCCAAGCGCGCTTCAGTGTTTAGTGTTTTCGACTGTGGCTCACATCTAGTTGCCACAAAATAGCACACTTTACTTTGGAGCCATGGTCAGATACCACTATTCGATTAGAGTAGCCCAAGAGTTGGCGTTCAGTGCTGTTGACTAGTTACCTTCCATCTACTCTATCAGTTCAAAATTAGGGACAGGTAGTTTTGTGTGAATATCTGTAACAAATAAAAACACTTTTTTTTGCAATTGAGAGACAATAAGAGAGACAACAGATGCTGCATAAACTAAACTTATCTTGGTTGCAAGAATATATGACTGAGAAGCTGAAATGCAATGACAACCTGACTTGGGTGACTCTATGGGACAACTAGACATACATGGACCATCTAGGAATTGTCACACACTGTGACCAAGAGAAAAGGTAAGATGCATATCTATGATGAATTCCAAAGTTGGTCTAACAAAGCTCAGACACTGTGACCACTGGTTGAAATGGATGTAGAATATGTCGATGATATGTCTTTCTAAATTTGAAGCATTGTTCTGATGCTTTGACTACAAAACGTCACCACACTCATTGGGATGCACACACTTTCCGACTTCACATAGAGTAGGGGAGTTTCCTTCCTCGATCACTGGTGATATCTCAACCATAACGTAACAAAGATGCTGGCAGAAAGAACCAGCCTGAACTACTTTTTGACAATGCTGGCAAAGTTAATTAAGTTAACGATTCAGTGTTTAAAAACACAGAAACGAATGAACTCTACTAATTCCTCAAAGGTTTTGTGTAAGTTAAGGCCTAGAATATTTTAACTTAGAAACAGATAATGGAATGCTTAATACTGAGTCTGGATGGTATAGCATTTAATGGTCTTAAACGCTTGGAGGAGAAGTAGAGTAACTTGTCACTGTGATAGGGTTTTTACTGAGTAGCACCATAGATTTGTCCCTGTGAAGAACAGGGTAATCCTTAGAGCCAAGTTCAATGCTTGAAGAAGTGAGCCCTAAGAGAACTTGGCTGCTTATGTGAACAATCTAATACAACTACGTGAAAAGGCCTTTGCAAGCATGTTATTCACAGATCATGTCTTTATCAACATATTCATCAATGGGCTGTTGAGCAAACCTATTTCTCATTAGATGGGTTTCAGGGATATTTCTTTTCTGGGAAGCTTTATTCATGGAGACCACATCAAATTGCTCTTCCCCAAGATAAGTTGGCTGTTTATGTGAGCAATCTGATTCACTATTGTGACAAAAAAATAAGGTGATGTGCATATTTCTTTTCTAAGAAGCTTTACCCATGGGGACCAAATGACATTAGGCATGTTTGATTGTACAGACTGTGCCCACTGGTTGAAATGGATATGGAATATGTCAATCATATGTTTTCTAAAAGATGAAGTTTTGGCTACCTATGTGACTTTTTAGTCACTTATAAAAGTAAAACCTGTTGTAAGCCATCAGACTTACCGCTGAGCCACTGGGAGCTAATATAAAACTGATAAACGTGATATTATATTATAACGTATTAATTACTTATAAGTGTTAAGCAGAGCTTGACGTGGTCGAGAGGTTAGAGTGACGGACTTTAAATATGAGGTTTCGTAGCTCGCGCCCATTGCCGCAAAATCGTGAATCGTGCTTTGAGTTATCAGTTAGCTATCTGATAACGACATTTTCGTCCGTAAACACACATACTTAAATATATCTTACTTTTTCATAAACTACTAAAGTTAAATGAGCACTTCAGATGTTTTGAACGTGTAATTATTTTATAACTAACTTTATAACGTTATAAAATCCCATTTTAAACGTTAGGAAACTGATAATGATATTTTCGTCCTTTTTTTTTTTCTGTCCTTCAAACGTCAAGTTGAAACTCACACCATAATTAATAACATAAGTTTACAACGATTATTCTAACAGTGTAAATATTCTATTAAAACGTGATATTATATTAACATTTCGTAACACCATTCTTATTATATTACCTTTTAATAAAACAAATTAATGGCCTCAAAATACTTCATTTATAGATTGTGTACCACATTGGTCACTAAAAATAGCTTGTACATACCTGGTCAGGCTTTTGTAACATTAATTGGAAGTTAACAGATACGAATTGTTTTTGTTGTCTTTTCTGTATCAAACACTTTTCATTAAATTATTAATGTGTAAACGGAAAGCTCATTTTACAAGAACAAAAGTTCATATGTAAATATTTGCTCATGATATTTTTAAAGGAGATGCAATACCTACATTTTAACAAAGTATTTACCAGTATTATTATACCAGGCTTTTGTCTAAATCAACAGAAAATATAAAACCGTTTATTTCTAAATAAGCACCAAGCTGTGCTTACCACGGGTACTGAAATCCGTTATAAGCCTTCAGACATATGTACCCTTGTTTACTTAATTTCAAAGGCTAAGTTTGAAAATAAAACTAACACATTAAGATAATATAGCTTTATTCTCATATTATTATCATTAGTTTTTTAGGCTTAAGCCTACTGTGTTGGATTATTAAATTCCTGATACTTTATTTACTTGAAAAAAAGATGTTGAAGTTTGCTTCTCTTTTAATTTTGTAAATCCTACATCTTAGCCATTTTTAATAATTTTCGTTTCAAGATTGTTATATTTTCCCTTATGGATCTAATGACATTTCGTCTGTCGTTAAACCTTGTCTTGATTGTCAGCATAAACATTTAACGTAATAGTGGCTAATTTAAGCTTGCTTAACTCTTCTAGTCTAAATTGTTAGCACAGTTAGTTTCAAACACATTTTTACAAGTTTGTTTGTTTTTCTAAATATTCAAAATTACGAGTAAAATGTACTAAATGTGAAAATTATGTTTTATACAAAAATCTGACAAATTAGTACATCTATTATGAGCGAAGTTATTATTTTTGTTCTTATCTCATAGGTACGAATTGTATTTAACGTTACTGGTGGTATTTTCCTGGAACTCTGTCCTGTCCCAGCTAAACAGCGTATATAATGGCGTTTCAACATTTGACAGAGATTACGGTAGTAAGTCGAATGAGTGCGCCCTCATCTTCAAGCGAACTAGCGGCAATCTTCTTGGTAGGACGCCAGCGCGCACTTACGATGGATTTTTAAATTTCTTAAAACCTGGGTAAGAGTTTTACTTTGAAAATATTTATTAAAACATCATTGTATTCTGACTGGTAATACTGAGTTGAGTAGATGTTAATGAAAAACTTTGTGTAACAGTTACACATCATTGTGACATAAAACTATTCACGTATGAAATTACCTTTTTATATCTTATGAGTTGTTTTGCTTACCTGTAAATTTTTTTACTTCTAGACCGTTCCGTTCAACTGATCTTGTGGAAGACACTTGTATTCGCTATATCGATGTTAACCGTGCTCTTGCTGAAGCTAAGCGCCAGAGAGGTAGAATACCAGTGTGTAATCATTAATTACATTTCTGAAATGCTTTACTCAGGTTGATTCTTAATCTGAAAACGTAGTTTGATATGAAGTTCCATTGTCACAAATTGAATTTCGCAATGATAAAAAAACACATAGGGTAAAAAAAGTTTGGTAAATTAAATTTAAAAAACAGCGCTTTCGACATTTTGACCTGTACTCATCAAGGGTGAAGGAAAGACGACGTTTCTGTATGCAGGTGCTTTCACTGTAAACAGTAAAATGGGTATTAGTGTATTTAATGTTATGCATGAATCAGTAGGTTTTTTTTTTACTAAATTCGTGAGGGAGAATTTTTAAATTATATTGTAATGGTTTTTCTTAGGGGCATTGAAGCTATACTTTTCATTAGTAACTTAAAACTATAATTATTAAAATGAAAAATTCGAAATCGATCCAAAACTTACAAACAAGTCAAAAATCAGAAATTAGCTATATCAATACATCTATATTTGTTAAAATTTTGTTGTTTAAATTAGACCCATAAGCTATAAAACACCTGTAGTGTGACAACAATAAATGATTTAAATTTTTAATGTAACTTTAATATTTAATGTGACTTAAGTTATATACAAAACTAAACTACTCAATATTTAATGTAAATTAAGTTATATACAAAAACTAAATCACTCAGTATTTAATGTAACTCAAATTAGATGAAGCATACAAAAACACAATCACCCAATATTTAATGTAACTTAAGTTATATACAAAAACTAGATCACTCAATATTTAATTTAACTTAAGTTATATACAAAAACTAGATCACTCAATATTTAATTTAACTTAAGTTATATACAAAACGAAATCACATCACTTCATTATTTGGTTTACTCTACAAAGGTAAACAAACAGCATAAAGTTTATCTATGTTTAATGTTGATGAAAAATTAATATAATTTTCATCAAAACGTGTTTTTTTTCTCTAGGCTAGTTTCTCTGTATTTCTCTATTTGTTTTCTAGGTTAGCTTCACGTAGATCTTTATATTATTTCATGTAGGATGATATTTCCGTTTCTCCTTTCTAATTATATTTCACGTAGATCTATATTTCTCCACTTTCTTTCCAGACCAACTTAGGTTTACGTATATCTATATTTTCCCGCCTGCTATCTGGATTAGCTTCACGTAGATTTACATTTCTCCGCCTCCTCTAGATTAGTTCTATGTAAGTTTATATTTTTCCATCTCCTTCTAAGACTAGCTTTACAACCTACTATACTTATCAGCATCGTTTCTAGAAGAAGCTAAAGTAAATCTATATGCATGATAGAAAGACGCATTCATTATAATGAAAGAAAGTAACTGGTATTTAATGGTCCATGGTCTTCCCACAGGCTACACACAACCGTCGACAATCAACTCTTTGGAGCCACTTCCTCCACACATCGATAAAACAGCAGAGCTGGTGTTAACTACCACCCGGATATTAGCTAGGCAGTGAGTAGTGTAATGTAGATTTTGGTTCTTTCTAGCCCTGATATTAGCTACAAAGTGAGTAGTATAATTTGTTCGTTCTATCCCGGATATTAGCTAGGTGGTGAGTAGTCTCTAATCTAGATCTTTATTCGCTCTAACCCAGCTATTAATTAGGTAGTAGTATAATCTAGATATGTATATGTTCTAACCAGGATATTAGCTAGGCAGTAATTAGTATAATCTAGATTTTTCAACATTCTAACACGGATATTACCTAGGTAGTGAGTAGTCCCATCGAGATCTATGCTCGTTCTAGCCTGGCTATTAACTAAGCGATAGTATAGCCTAGATTTTTGTACCTTCTATCCCTGATATTAACAAGGCAGTGAGTAATTTACTACATATCTTTGAACGTTCTAACTAGCTATTAGCCAAGCAGTAGTATAATCTAACCTTTGTCCTTTCTATCCAAGATATTAGCCAAGTAGTGAGTAGTGTTGTATATTAGTTAGGTAATATTAGTTATTAGTTATTAGATATTAGTTAGGCAAAGAGTGTTGTAATTCAGAGTTTTCTTTGTTTTAACCCGAATATTAGCTAGACAGTAAGTAACCTTATCTAGGTCCTTGCACGTTATAACCCGGATATTATCTAGACAGTGAGTAGTATGATATGTGTGTTTTAATCAGGATATTGGCTAAGCAGTAAGTATTATAATTTATCTTTGTACGTTCTAAACAGGCTATTAGCCAGGCAGTAGCATAATCTAGATCTTTGTATTTTCTATCCTGGATATTATATAGGCAGGGATTAAGTCATCTAAATATTTTTATGTTCTAACTCGGACATTAGCTAGGCAGTGAGTAGTCTAATCTAAATATTTGTACATTCGTTCCTGTATATAAGCTAATAAGCGAGTATTGTTTCGTTGGTAAGAACTTTTTTCTACCTGAATATCTATTGAGACATTCCTATCTGGATGTAAGTGGAATACTTTTTGGATGATTGTAGCAAGAGATGGAATAATGTCACCTCAGTAATAAGTGAAGTATTGTATGACTCTTAGTACAAGTGTTTTAGATAAGTTTCGTTGTTGTACAAAATGTCTACTAAAGTATATTTACATCCGCCTTTTGTTTACATCTATTGAAATACAGTACACGCGCATGCGCATTTAGATAATAAGGTGCGTTTACATTTGCAGGGCAAACAAAAATTAAGTATTATTATTATAATAGATTGGTAACAAGTTTAATTTATGTGTATTTTTATTTTGACATTCTTACTGACAGTGAGTAGTGTATCTTTGATAAATTGCTCAGCTATTCTAACTAATTAAGCCTAAGGTGAGATACAAACACCTTTAAAGCGCCTTTATAAAAGAGTTTGTTTGTTTGTTTGTTAAGCACAAAGCTACACATTGGGCTATCTGTGCTCTTCCCACCACGGGTATCGAAATCCGATTTCTAGCGTTGTAAGTCCGCAGAAATACCGCTGTGCCACTGGAGGGGTAAAAAAAAGAGAAAGAGAGAGGGGTAATGTTTTTATTATACGACTACAGATCTCTTTAAAATAAAGGAGATCAGCTATAACTTAATGGAAATGCATTTTTCAAAGCTATAACATATCGGGATGGGGTGGGCGTAGATTAAAATTTATTCAGTTATTTAAACAACATGTTTCGTGAGAATTGTACATAAAATATGAGTGATTGAGTCATAAGCATAAATACACAGATAAATGGACAAAACTTTGGCCAAACATTATTTTCATTGTAATAGGTAACAAGAGAGAAATGTTTTTCACGATCTTATAAAAATAACAAGTTATTTTCATCAAATCTAGCGAAGAAAAATTAGTCTACGTAAATCATTAGTTTCATCATCATTATTATTTAGATTTCAGCTTTCTCCTGACGAGATTGTCAATGGTCTACCAATGATCGACACTTCACGCACAGACATCTGGGAAGTATGCCCTGCCCATGTGAAGCCCATGCCCTGCACCACTGAGAGGTATCGAACTTACACAGGAGTGTGTAACAATGTGCATCACACCAGCTGGGGATCGACTCACACCCCTTTTGTCAGGCAACTTCCACCAGTTTACAAAGATGGCAAGTTATCGAAACTAATTTCTTAGTTGTCATGATTTGTTAACTATGTAAAACTCCAAATTTCTACTTTAATTCTCTCTTGGAAATATTTATACTTATCTAGCGCCTTTTACTTAAAGAAGAAAATCCATAAGCAAGTTTCTTCCGTGTCACTTTCCCAACATGCAATGCACATAAGACCTTTTAAGACACACTCCAATGTTTGTACAAGAACATTTCAACTCATAGTGTTGAGAATTATGATGATAGAGGTTATCATATTTAAAAGTTTGTTGATGTTACAATTTCATCTATATTGAAAACTTGTACAAGTAAACATTTTTGCGTGAAAAATATTATCGTTTATCAAGTTGGGACATAAACTAAACAAAGAGAGAATAATAATGGGCTGTTATATTATTAATCACGGCTTCAAATTAACCAAACTTGAATTTTAACATTTTAAACCAATTCTTTGTCACAGACTTGGGTGAAAGAAAAAACAAACAACTGACACACCGAACCAATCACGCTACAAAGGTTATTGCATTTCATAATAGCAATATGCATAAGCTAATGCAGTGGCATTTCACTGCAGATGTAACTGTGGCCACCTTTTTAACATCTATATATCTGGTTCACGGCGACGTCCCATCGATTCCACAGTGTAAAGCTACCACGATTGTGTTTATGTTTGGACTTGTGTTACAGTCTTTTCTGAGGAAAGATGATGTACATATTTCAAGAAGCAATGTAAAGTCTAAAAATACAAAATTTCCAAAAAGTTAGTCTTCAAAATTCTTTTTTCAGTAAAAAATCTCGCAAAGGTGAGCGTTTACGACAGCAATGAGCTTAAAAACTACACCCAAACTAATCTTCAACAGTACTGTAATGTGGAGGTTATGGCTACGAAAAAACTCTCTGACCCACCCCCAATGAAAATCTTTGCATTGTAGCTGGACATGCATCTTGGTACCATAATATGATAATAAGCAAGGATTTTAAGCCAAGGAAGACATCTTGGTACCATAATATGATAATAAGCAAGGATTTTAAGCCAAGGAAGACATCTTGGTACCATAATATGATAATAAGCAAGGATTTTAAGCCAAGGAAGACTTATAAGCGAAAAGTGCACAGTAAAATAATTATACGAAGGAATTGGAGTTGCACTAACCTTATTCGATCTCATACCTGTGAATTCCCCCGATGCAACAAGAATGGGCTTTCTGATTTTGACCTGCTTATGCATAATACTGAAAGCTGACGTCCACATAAAATGGAGTATCTGTGAAAATTTAGTCAAAAGGTGTGGTCTAAGATCTATTAGTCCTTGTTCGGCAATTATTATAGTGTACGTCTCTAATCAATTGAGACTAGTGTCAGCAAGGAATTGTTTAAATTATATAAATTGACTAAGATATCGTTGTTCATTCGTGTGGATAATAAAAAGATAAATTACACACGTATCTATGTAAGCTATATATATAAATTAAATATTAGATAACCCGTTTAAAACGTGTATATACAACTGACGTATTCATAAAATCAAAATATTTTTACAAAATGTTACGCATGAGTATCTTGCTCACATAACTGTTTGTTGATATTTATTCTTTGAATATAGTTTAATAGTATTCTTTTAGGTAGCTGTTAGTTCCCTAAATAAATTTATATATATTAATGATTAAATATATAATATTCTTTAAATTACACATTCATGAAAATACGTAAGTAAAACTTGTTATATAAGTAGCAGTAGCATAAAATGGTTATTTTGAACAAATAGTTTAAAAAGCAGTTACATATTATTCGGCAAATTGACAGAATTATTATATACACTATCGATTGTTTCAATAAAAATGTCATTATAAGCAGTAGATAATAAAACTTTTTTACGCTTGATTTTAACAATAGTTTCTGGGTACTGTAGTAGACTCTGAACATGAAAATAGAGCTTTGGACTTAGCATATGGTCTAGTTGAGAAATTATGGTCGCATGTACAACACCTGGCCAATTAATAATCAAGGTCAATGTTACCAGAACCCATTAAGTCGATAATCAGACCTCCACCCCAATGGAACACAGCCCATCTGGTAGCTTGGTGAATACTGTATAGCCTCTTCTATAATTCTTTAAAACGGCCGCTGAGATATTATAAATTTCTTGAATAGAAAATGTATTGTTAATTATATGGTAAACCTGTAGACGAGAAGACCGTTACACTTTTGATGTTCTAAACGAATATTTTTACAGAACAAACACTATACTAATGTATAGAAAGCTAGCCAACTTCATAAGCTTAGCTAATGTTGTTATATTCTTGTTCCTAGGTATTTCTGAGCCGCGTGTTTCAGTGGTGGATGGAAGCCCTCTTCCTCCTGCTAGGATGGTGAGTGCTTATATCCATCGGGACTATGATTATCCATCCAGTGACCTCTCCGTCTTACTCATGTCATGGGGTCAGTTTATTGACCATGATATGACTCTTGCGGCACCACCTAGAGGTAAGTTCGATAGCTTCAGAAGTTGTCACAATTTTTTATTTTATTTAAGTTCATGGCTATCTCATTATCAGGAAAGATAATAAAGAACAGAAAGTTATGAATTCCTTTATCATAGTAGGTAAACGATGCTTAGCAAATATCAAGGAAAATGTTATAAATACCCCGTCTGCAGTTATTGGTTTACCTGGAGAAAGTTACCACACATTACTGTGTGAAAATGGTAAAGCAGTGACCAGGGTGGGAGTGGGTGTGAAAATGGTAAAGCAGTGACCAGGGTGGGAGTGGAAGTATTTGTAAAGCAGTGACCAGGGTGGAAGTGGAAGTATTTGTAAAGCAGTGACCAGGGTGGGAGTGGACGTATTTGTAAAGCAGTAACCAGGGTGGGAGTGGATGTATTTGTAAAGCAGTGACCAGGGTGGGAGTGGACGTATTTGTAAAGCAGTGACCAGGGTGGGAGTGGACGTATTTGTAAAGCAGTGACCAGGGTGGGAGTGGACGTATTTGTAAAGCAGTGACCAGGGTGGGAGTGGACGTATTTGTAAAGCAGTGACCAGGGTGGGAGTGGACGTATTTGCAGCATCAACTGGCCTCTTGTCAAATATCACATTGGAGTTTCTCCATCAAATTATACTTAGTGGATTATCATTATTATTATGTTCTATACTTATCGGTTCACGAAGTTACCGAGCGAGTGTGCCTATTGGTTAACAAATTCGGACTGATGATCTGAGCATTCATGTTTCCCAACTCATTGACGGAAAAAACGAAAACAGCACGTAATCATGAGTGCGCTTTAAGAATGTCGATCCAGCCCCACTATCCAATCAGACCCAATAGTAGCCCAACTGTTTACTGTGGATGCTACTGCCAAGCTGCCTTCCTTCTAGATTATCCCCGTCGGGATAGTGGTGAGTCTACAACGCTAAAATCGGGGGTTCATTTCTTCTCGGTGGACCCAGCAGATAGCCCGATGTAACATATTACTCTAGTTTATCAGTTCAGAATATGAACGATTATGTGCAGATAGCACTTGTGTAGCTTTGCATTCCAAAATAATAATAATCTTAATATGGAAACATCAGTTACAAATTCTGTTTCATGGATAATACTATATTAGGCATGGAATGGTAGCTTTCGATTTAATAGTGTTTATTTTTTTAACCAGCGTCCATCTCTTATTTCTGGTAAGTAAGTTGTAAATAAAGTATGCATGATAAAAATACTAAATTATTTAGAACTTGTAATTTTATTGTACTTGGATATTTTGTTTGAAACCGAAAAGTTCCGGTAGTGCATTTCAAACTTTTGTCTTTTTTGTCTTTTGTGGCACGATATTGGAATATATCACCAGCTAATGAAGACTGAGAGACATGTTCAGTTTTATGCATAACCGTTTCTCTCATATCCTTCAATCTGATCATGTTCTCATGTATAAACAAATATGCACACCTTGACCTACTTCTTTCCCGTCCAATAGAATGGGTGACATATCCTGTTATTTCCAGTAAAACGACCACTTTCTCATAAGGCCTTCCAGCCTTCTATGCGCTCTAGTTTATTTAGCAGGTTATCTTGCACTTGGCGCCTAACCAAAGTACTGACCACGCAAGGCTGTTATAGATATCTAGTTTACTGATTCAATTAAGATTAGTTTTACCTACTCAAGTATTTTTCAGATTTTCTGAATTTAGTCCCCAGATGTTTCTTGTATAATTTCTACATATTCCCTGCTATTTAATTAAAGTATCAAAAATAAGTCCAATCTTGATGTATATTTGTATATGTATGTTTTTCGAAGTTCGTAACGTGGGTAGACAATTGATAAGCAATAAAAGAGTAAATTCATGTTTCTATTTATTTTTCTACAATCTTTAAGCTATTTTTTATAAGTTTCAATGATCTTACAATAATATAAGTTCGCACACTAAAAGCAAATCACTTTAAAATTTAGTATACTCTGCATTGTGTCCGCCAGTGGCTCAGCTGTAAGTTTGAGGGCTTATAAAGCTAAAACCCGGGTTTCGATGCTCGTAGTGAGAGGGGCACAGATAAGGTTGTGTAGCTTTGCGTTTAACTACAAACAAGTTTTACATTGTTTGGAATGTATATTTTATAACAGTTTATTGTTTCTGTGATGAGAGGTAACAGTAAACAGAAACGTACTGATCTTTAGTAAAACCCTTTTTCCTTTCCTCCAAAATTTTACTTTTTTTTCTAGATAAATAAAAAACACATCTTTCTTTAAAGTAGGAACAGTCAGTGCTTCTAGTACTTTCAGAATAATTTTGTTCTTCTGACTGATAAATTCGTATACCAAAAGTTGAACGTTATTGTAGACAGCTCAGTGAGGCTGACAGAAAAGTAACTGTTACAAATAGTTATTAAACTTCACTGTGCTATCGAAAGTAACAAGAAAAATATAACTGAATCAGAACCTAAATTCCTACTAATCCACCATTCTGTCAAGCGTTCAGTGATATTAACAGTTGAAATATTATTTCTTACAAATACATATGAATTCCTTTAGTGTGATACCATTAGTTGTTTCCTTTTCACAATCTTAGCGGAAAGCTACGCATAGTCATTTTGAACTGATAGACTGGAGGAATGACAGCTGACCAACAGTATCCTCTGGAAACTCTTGGGTTACTGTTGTCTGACTCTGACCGAATAGTCAGATTTGACAGTCACTCCTATATACCAACGACCACAAAGTGCGGAGCGCGTTTTTGTAGAAATGTGCCGCGAACCATGAGTTCCCGGATTCATAGTCCAGACATACTAACCATCTCGTCCGGCCCGACATCACTAGTCTGCTTTCCCTTCATTGCTATAACACTGGACTTCAGATATGAAGCCAATAATAATGTCGTTTTAAAATCTCCTGAAACTTTTAGGCTCAACAAATAAAAGTACTCCTACACAAGACAATACATATGAACATATAAGTTAGAAAATGTAACAATCTGTTTTATATAAGATTTCTCTTTTCAAATGTAATGTAACAGCGGAACAATACAAGAAATGAAACAAACGATGACGTAAAAGATGTCCAACATGTATCGATATTGTTTTTCTTTCTCTCAAATCCCTTTTATTAAAGCAACATTGACGTAATTCTGAAAGTACCAAACACGCTAAATCAAGTTACCTGAAAGTTGTATTAAATCATTCTGATCATTAAGACGATAGAATGTGAACACATTTATATTGTTTAAGTATTGATAAAAGTAACTTGTAATCGACATGACAGGTAACTTTCAAGGCGACACTTTACATTTAGTAATAGTTTCAAGAACCTAGAAATAATATTGTTACGACAGCGGAAGTCACGTGACGCTAGTAACACGTCATGAGGTTCTAGAAAGATCGGGGAACATCACGAATAATCCAGTATTTGCTAAGCGCCCTCTATTCTTACATATAAGTGCGCCAGACAGATAATCGACATAGAATTGCAGACAGACAGAGACGGACAATTGAGTCAAGCCTGGTAGTTCGTTGTAAATCATAGCGTGTGTTTAAGTTAAGCTGACTGTGGAAATTAAGTGTATTGTAAAGTTGTACTGAAAAAGAATAAACTACTTTTATTTAATGAAGGACATGTATTGCTGAAGTTTTTCGGAAAGAATTTCTACGGAAAATTAACAAACGAACACAGAGACGTAACAATATTTTATTTTAGCCAGAGACTAGTAAGCTATTGTAATAAATAATAATGTGTAAATATACACATATCTAAGCATTGAAAAGATAAACTGAAGAGGGTAAATTATCCACTAAATATTTTTTCAATCCTCTATTTGTTACATTTTAAACTGGAATTTAAACGTAATTCAAGTTTTCCTGCATAACATACCACGCTGCTTTACACCCACTAAAATATAATAATGTATGATCCAAATATTAGGGGGAAAAGAACATAAATATTGGCTCTCTCTTTCAGATGAGAACGATCTAGACTTTGTTTGTTGTGGGATTCCTAAAGAACAGCAGCACCCTAACTGTATGACCATTGACATTCCTCCTGCTGATCCATTTTATACCCACTATGGACAAACGTGCATGGAATTCAAACGTGTGCTCGCTGGACACAGACCTGGCTGTACTCTTGGTAGGTGGCGTTTTATACATTTGTCAGTGTTGTAAATTTGTAAATATTTATTTTAACTGTTCAGAGACTACTGAAAAACACTTGAAAATAAACAAAGTAATAATAAAATGTTGGCGATAATAATCATCGACCAATTTTTCTTTCTTATATTAAACATAATAATAGTTTATATAATAACTTAGAAAACTTCAATCTTAAAGTACTAAATAACTATCAACTCGTAAGTTAAATGTGTTCAATCGTTTCGACCCATTAGACACAGAAAAAACAAAACGAATACTTCGCGTTAGTTATTTTGGTTATGGTTATGTAATTTTTATTCTCAAATATTTTACATATTTCAGTCAGAAATTTTGTCTTAGTATCAACTGTATCCTTTGTTTTATTCTTTTCAGGCCCAAGAGTGCATATTAATCTTCTTACCCAAGCACTAGATGCCAACTTTCTGTATGGTTCAACAGAAAAATTGGCTAAAGAACTGAGGCTTGGTAGAGGAGGTAAGTCTTAGAAAGAAACCCTGGTCAGTTTCAAAGTAAAAGAGTAAACAGAGAATTCCAACCTAAAAGACTTAAACAGACAAATAATTTGACAGACAAAAATTTAAATAAGGTATTATTGAACATTTTAAAACTTTTTTGGCGGTAAATGGCATATTTATAGAAACGAAACAAACAAGAAACTGGAATAAGGATTACACAACGATTTTCATGACGTTTTAATTCAGTAATTTATAAGAAAATATAAATTATACATGATATTAATGAATATATAGAACACACAAATGCATGATGATTTATACTTTAAGTAAAATATGTAGATATTTAAGTTTGGGATTCGATTATTGGACTTTAGTGGCTAATGTGACTACTGAGTGCAGTCATCGTGTTGGTGAGTTTCTCGTTTAAATTATTCTTGTTACTTTTAGTTTCCCCAGTTTGCTTCTTCTGGACTGTTAACCGTTCAAGGTTTTTATCTCCATTTGTATTGCATGCATTTTAGTTTGCCTGTGTGATGGTTCACCAAGGTGTGGCTGGGCAAGGAGGGTTGTCTCCTACTAGATACCATGTTAAACCCTATTCCAGACCCGGCAATGACTCCTGAAAATCAGCTAGACCCATCTACCCATCCGTATTCATTATAATCCCCAGAACACTTTTCCTGAACATTTGATTCTCACTGTCTACTTTGCTTTCAGAATCTTCATGATTGCTACTATATACGTTCACTCTAGTTTATCCCTACATCATGGTTTCTTCTACTACTTGGATAGAAAAGTTTGAATTTTTATTATATTGGCTGACATCAGCTATCATAGTTGAACTTCCTCAGGAGTTACCTAATTCTAATATTACTGAATCTATGTTGCTTCTCCCTTCTACAAGCTGTCAGAAATGAAATTCTTCACCAGATATTGTTGCAGCTTTCGCGAATCTAGTATATTTTCTCTTTCTGAGCATCTGTGATCCAGTGAGTAGTGACCACCTCCCCATAAAGGTTCAACTACCAACTAAGGTCGACTTATGGCCATTCCTACACAAATAGGATACTTATTAACTACCATAATGACGATTGGACTTCTTATAGGTTTTATTTTTAAAGAGATATCACCAATGTTGATACGCATCTTTTCTCTATTGATTAATATTAATTCATAAGGAAACATTCTTTCAAATGTTCTCACTTCTGCCAGTTCCTTACATGTCCACTCTTAATACTAATACACCAAATAGACTTAGCTTTACTTCGTCTGGTAACTGACATCTTACGTCTATCCTTGTCATTACTTCGGGGCTATCGTCGCTGTCACGACCCATGTATTTTATTACATCACAGGAGCCTCCAACTAACTGCTTTTAATTTTGTTTGAGCATTGAAGAGGGGGGAGTGATAGCACCAGATTTGCAAACATTTTCAACATTATATAAATCCTTCAGAATTCTGGAATAAATTTAAATTCCTGATTGAACAAAAATGCTCCCCAGATATTCATCATCGTTTATAGCACTGTGCCTACTTCCTCCCTTAAGGTTAATGTTTTTGCCTTATCCCATGAAACTAACTTTACAGCACCGGAACAGCATTATTTCGACTTCGGAGATACAATACATGTTCTGGAGTTGATTAGTCAATCTCTTCCTGAACATACTCTCAGTGCAGCACATGTTCTAGGTGATACTTATATGAATGCACCTCTCACAATACAGGATCTCTAGCTGGCTCTGAGAGGTAAGTGCAAAACTGCTCCTGGCCCAGATGGGATCACATACTGTCATCATCTGCATGCTCTAGTTAAGTTCCTTTTTTTGCTTGCATCATTTTATATCTTTCTTCTTTGTTCTTGATTTTACCTTGATCTCTTGAAGAATTCTATTACTTTACTTTTCCAAAATCATAATAAGCCTCTAACTAACGTTAGTTCATATTGTTCCATCAGTCTTACCAGTGTTCTCTGTAAAAACGTTCGAACTCATTTTCGTTCATTGTCTCACAGGTTTATTATTGATCACCAACTTTTCCCACCTACCTAGGTCAGACTAGATTTTGTCTAGAGATATCGACACTGGACCAGCTTCTTAAATTATTGGACTATCTCTCCCCAGTCATCTTAACACTAATACGTCTTCTTGTATGCTACTTCTTGGTTTTCAGAGAGCTTTCAACTCTGTCTAACACAGCAGTTTAATCTACAAACTCTGATCTTTCAAAGTAAATCTTGTCCACATTAACAACTCATTTCTATGCGAACAATGTGCAACTATTTCTCTCGATCTTTCTACTGGAGTGCCTCATAGCTCCGTTCTATCGCCTTTACTATATATTTCTTATGTTGATGATATGCCTAAGTTGATGTATCCGTTGTATTATGCTGATGATACTGCTAGTATGACTCGTGAAATATTATGTTTATTCTTAATAAAGATCTTCAGGCTGCGGAATCTTGTCGCTGGAATCTTACAAACAATTCCATTAAAACAGGAGTAATACTTTTTGTCCTAAAAAGAGAAAGTTTCGCCCTTGTCGCAAGTCTTTGTTATTTCTTGCCATCATCAGCATTGTTCTTATCCAGCTTATGACACTCTTGAGTATCTAGGAGTCATATTTGATAAACTTTTCACTTGAAAGCCCAGATGACAATTCTCAATCACAAATTTACTCAACGTTACCCTTATGATGCCTAACAGGATCTTCCTTGGGCTCAATTCCACCCCTTTGTTTATACACATATAAGTATTATATATGATCATACTGTCTGTACAGTTTCCTACAGTTGGATACCTCTCCTGGCCGAAAGTAGGCACAACCCTCTGTTGGTTCGCCAATTTCCATATTGAGGCTGAAATGAAATAACATTTAAAAATAATCAAGTTAGCTAAAGTGTAGTGTCGCATGTGAAAGGTAGCTATACTAAATTTTACCATAGATATTGTTGTTGTTTTTTATGAAAACCAGATAAGACTATATGATCTCAACAAAATTTATTTCGTTAAAAGTGTCTCACTTCCATACGGAATGGAGTAATACTATCTAAATGTTTGACAGAAAACACTTTTGTATCGTGTTTTTGAAGACGAAAATCCTTTTATTTCAGGGCTTATGCGTGTATGGGACTATTTTAGCGATTACGGACTAAAGCCACTTTTGCCTCCTTTGTCTTCTACCCCGGAGAAAGATTGTACCGCTCGGCCAAAACATTTGTTTTGTTTCAATGGCGGTAATGTATAATAAGAAATACCATTTGAATAATATTATGAACACTTAGCAGAAAATGAATTTATTTAACTTTCAGAAATTGAGTTTTAATTTGCTCTTTTTGAGCATCAAGTTTAATCTCAGAAAGCAAAAACACATAAGTTCGTTTATACGTTTCCTACACTGAATTAAACTAGGTTTACGTTATTAATGAACAGAATCGTAGGTGTAAAAGTCTATCGATAAAAATATCAACAATTACAATAATAGTCTATCGATAAAAATATCAACAATTACAATAATAGTCTATCGATAAAAATATCAACAATTACAATAATAGTCTATCGATAAAAATATCAACAATTACAATATAGTCTAGTCGATAAAAATTCAACATTTACAATAATAGTCTATCGATAAAAATTCAAAATTACAAGTTAATAGTCTATCGATAAAAGTATCAA